TCCCAAGGTGTTATACCAGTTTCAGAATCTTTCAGTGGAGATACTGGATAAGGAAGTTGTAGAAGGGACAAAATTATCTCAAGATATATCTGGCAAGGACAACAACCTGTATTAAGCTCCTGCATTGGGTATGGGTTTACATCCCATCCCTGTGCGTTGAGCCGACCAGATGAACCAGTTCTTTCCAGTGCCGGCGATCTTGTGCCAGCTGCTCTGCATCCTCCATAGCGACTCTGTGTTGTTGGAGGTCACCCGCAAGGACGTCAAGCCATCGGGTGCGGGGCTTACCTCGTGTTCGTCTCCAGCCAGCAGCTCTCGGATCAAACTGGAGAATGGCTCTTGTCGGATGGTCAAGAGAGAGACGGAGGATGTGGCCAAGCCAGCGGGTGCGGCGTTGCGCAGCCAGACAAGATGCTCTGGGCTGGCACGTGCGGGCTCTAAGCACTTGATTGGAAACCCGCTGGGGCCACCTGATGTTATCTATGGTCCTGAGGGGCCTGCTATCAAAGCCATCAAGTCTTGCGGCCAGTGTCTTATTTAAGGGCCAGGTCTCAGAGCCATAGAGCAGGATGGAGAGTACTGCTAAGTTATAAATCTGGAGCTTCGTCCTGCGGGAGATAGTTTGGTGCCGCCAGAGTGGTTTCCAGAGAGACTGCAGGGCTGACGCAGCCAGGGCTCTGGGTAATTTCTGGTTTTAGGTCCCCGTTGTTTGTCACTAGGGATCCCAGATATACAAAATTGCTGACAGGTTCTACAATATCATTGCCAAACCGCAGGGGGGTTGGATGCGGTCCGTCACCGATATACATGTACTTGGTTTTTGTCCAGCTCACCTGGAGGCCAAGCTTCTCAGCCTCCTCACTGCATATGCCCAGAGTATCTCTCAGCTGGCTAAGGGACGTGCTGAGCAGGATGGTATCGTCAGCGTACTCCAGGTCAGTCAGATGGTAGCTGCCGAGGGCCACTCCGGGGGCCGTTGACAAACCCTGGACATCAGATGGTCAATGATGCAGTTGAAAAGGTCAGGGGCAGCCACACAGCCCTGTCAAACGCCGCTAGAGATGGAAAACCAGTCTGAGTCTCTGCCATTGATGCGGACACAGCTCTGTGTGTTACTGTAAAGCAGCTTAAGCAGGGCAACAATCTTGGGTGGTGCTCCAAGAGCACGTAGGATACTCCACAGTGAAGAGTGGCGGACAGTGTCAAAGGCAGCCTTCAAGTCTATGAACCCAATGTAAAGATGGCGATCTTTACGGAATTCATAGGTCTTCTCTATGAGCAAGCGAATTGCGGAGATTTGATCTTGTAAAAAGGTCCACGAAATCGGTCCAAAGCGCAGAGTTCGATTCGTGGTGAAGGTTTCAAGCGCGTTCCGTCTTTTCCAAGCAAAGTGTTTTTTAATTAAATGCAACACATTTAATCTATTAACTCGTTTCATCTGACTCCATAAAATGAAAAGGGTTTATCAATGATATCTGTGCATCATTAAATACGTTAATGCTTGACTATTCCTTTTAACTCTAATGAAAATAAAGTCAAAGTCTGTTAGAATAGCCAAATATAACAATTTATTATGTCAGGTAAATGTATCATTAGAATTCCACAAGATAATCAGAGCAAACCATTAAATGTTTCAAAGAACAAAGAACTTTACCCAACATATTACATGAGCTGAGCCTTGAAGACACAACATCACGGGCTGATCTGAATACAGAAAGCAGCCCTGAGCTCTCCCGCTGCACCCCTTAAGTAGCCAGACCTTAACTGATATGTTAATCACCAGGTTTCAATGGAAAGTTACTGAATCCCCCTTTCATGTTTATCGGGGGCAGACCATTTGCTTGGTTGTAATTTGCATTCAGACAACAAGGCAGAAGGTGTTAACTCAAAGACCAAACTCCTTTGTGTGACAGTGATTCCTAAACTTCTTAAAAACCTTATTACCTTTTCTTTTATTACTTTGGGAATGAGACATTATTACCAGTCACCCTGAGACCAACAAAATGATTCTAAACAATCCTTAAAGATTATCAGATTCACATTAAAACCATATTCTTGTGTGAGTTTTCAGTATCATTGACTGAGAGAGTGAAAGAGAGAAGATGCAGATAAGATGTTCAGAGAAAAGGGGGTAGGGTGTCAAATGTTAATTTGCAAGCAGTGCATTTGTCTTTAAAGGCCACTGGTCAGATATTTTCTCTTTAACCAGTTTTTCCAGTCTTACAGATTCCCTCCTTGACCCCATGGGTCAGATTCAGACACTTAAGGGGTCACAGAGTAAGACGTTTGGTGTAATTCAACAATTGTCTCTTGACAATGTTGGCATCTGTAGAAGCTCTGGCTTTGTTCACCTGCAGAACACCTGTTCTCATCAGGCGTATGTAGCTTGAGTCCAGCAGGTGGATGAGGCTTTCTTCTGGTGATGTGAGCAAAGTTCATAGGGTCAATCTGGACCTCTTGACTTTTTCAGTTGGCGTGTCGTTTCTTCATGAAGACACTCACGTTTTCCTGGCACCTTTCCCATATTGATAATCTGTCCCTTCTCGACCAATCCTGTCACCTCCAGCGGTGCGGTTGTCTGGACAGACCTCAGTGGGTGAATGGGCTCTCTGTGAGACGTCTGAAAAGCATCTTAAATGTCCGCTTCACGATTGAAACAAATATGAACTTGAACTCAAGAAGAAAAGCATGGAAACGCATAATACAACAAAACAAAATCATGTCATGTTCTTTTCAGCAAGTGTGCTCATATTTTTCTCAGGGTATTGAATGGTAAGGATGTCTCATTAAATATCCAATTCTTAAATATATATATATTTTTTTGGTCTGAATTATAAAAAGGAAATGCAGCAAGAGGTCAGAGTATTCAAAGTAATCAAATAGATTCTATGATAAAAAGTCATGTAATAAAAACAATAAAATTCAATCATGTAATAAAAACAATAAAACATATAATAATCAGTGTTTGTTCAGGAATCTTCCAATGCAAGCCACTTATGCAATTCTAGGAAGTGACTTGGAGCATTCTTAAATGTATTCAAGAATGGAGATTGTTCATTCCTTTCAACAGGTGTGAGTGTGTGTTTGTTTGAGGGTGTGAGTGCGTCTGTGTGTGAAAGTGTGTGTTTGTTCGTCTGAGTGTGAGTTTGAGTGTTTTTGTGAGAGAAAGAGAGAGAGATAGAGTGTGCGTGTGTTTGTGTGTTGTTGTTGGCCAAGTCACAGACAATGACAAGGTTGAATTGAGAATTCTGTAGTTGATTGAAGCGCTCATACTTCAGATCTATTTAGCTATGATGTTACTATTATTAGTGGTATGTTGAGAAATCAGGGGCCCTCTGATTTTCCAACCACCCTAACAACAATCAGAAAGTTTAAACATTATGAAATTTAATGGCAAGTCTGCCACTGTTTTTTGATGCATTGCATTGATTTGTGACTGTAGCCATTAATATGTGTTTCCAGTGTTTTTTCATGAGTTTGCAGGGTGTGGTGATGAATAGCGTGTGCTATGTCATGGGATCAGCTTCCCATCATATGTGTGTGAAGCTATCCGGATCTGTGAGTGTGAAGATGCACAATAGATCTTTAGTGACGTTCGTGAATCGTTTTTCTAGAGCATTAAAGAAGACTGTATCCATAGTTTCTATTCTAATATGAAATACTTTAGAACTTTTGGGTATTACTTTTGGGTATTTGTGATAGATCTGGAAGATTACTATTGAAGTTATCTTCAGTAATTAAAATAATAGTTCTACCAATTTGGTAATGCTGAGCAGGCTGATTGACTTGGCTAAGCGCATAAACTGTAAGACACAAGGTAGAATGTCATTAAACATCATTCTAAAATGTTTAATATTCTAAATCATTTTCATTATATATGCAAGTGTTGAAATCACCTACAATCACATCTCTTTCAACTGAAACTACAAGATCCAACAGAAAATTAGCTAATTCTTAATGAAAGTCAGTATACTGTAGCAAGTACAAAGCAGGGCTTGTGTTTAGCAATGCCCTGGGGGATAGATTCATTAAACAAATATATTTATCTGATTTTAGCCAGGTTTCTGTCAGACAGAGTGCATCGATTTTATGATCGGTAATAATTTATTTTGCAATTAGTAATTTAGATGAAAGTGATTAAATATTCAGAAGCTCAAACTTTAGAAAATAATCTTGATTTTTTTTTCCTTTAACATCTTTTTTCTTTTTCAGACGAGCATTTTGCAGAACAGACACAATCTCTAAATTAAGTGATGCAACTCAAGCCAGCTAACATACGGTCGGGTTAAGCTTGTCTGTCTGCTTACTCTGAGCCCCAGTTGGTCAACTACTGTATGACAATTTTGAGAAAAGGAGAGTGGCACTTTTTTCCGAGGGATGGAGACATATTTCTTTAGCAGGTCAGGTCTACAAAAACTTAGACAAGCCATTCATTGACAATAACTTACTGATATGCAGAGAAGGACCAGAGCAGATAACAGGATCTGACATTGTTTTTGTGAGCTCACACACCATTTTAAAACAATCTTTAGTTGTAGTTCTTGATAAACGTGTTTCCCCAAGATTTAAAGTTTATTATTTGGGAAATTACAATTAGTGAATTAAAATGAATGAATGAATGAATGAATGAACAAACGAACAATGTCAATTAAACAGATTATCAATTTTTTTTAAATATATTTAATTGTTAAAGGCTTGTTTTTATTAAATTATAATAAAGGGCATTGGATCCAGATGAGGCCATTACGGCATGTATGCTTCAACTGGTACATCAGCTTCTTTGTCTCCCATTGCTTTCTTCTTTTTCTCAATTTTAAAACATACCTAATGTGTCAAACCTTTTTTTTTTTTTTTTACTGTACATCACTGTTAACTTAATTTACTTTTTATGTATGCAAATAGAAATAGGCTACAGAGCTGTTTATCTTAGTATAATCTTTCTTTTTTTACCATTTAAATGCAATTGTAAAATACTTTAAAAATGACACGGCACCACAATATTATGAGAATTTTAACTCCCACTTTAAGTTGTCGACACATTTATTTAGTTTATTATAAGGGTATAATAATCAGCACATTACATTAATAGTTGTATACTGAGGATGATGCTAGCTTAAAATATTTAAGAAAGAACTAAATCTAAAAGAAAACTAACAGTGGGCTCCAAACCAATATTTCTTACAGAAAAAAATCCATGGCACGAAACTGTTTTACACATTAGTAATGCAAGAAAATGTTGAAGCTGTTCTATAAATGACTTAAACCAACTGCAGAGCCTCAGATTAGAAGGAAACAGAGTTGTAACGTTTTAATTAAAGGGACAGTTCACCCCAACTTATTTACTCACTCTTATGTCTGCTAGTTATCTTAAGTCTTAGTTTTGTGTGGATAACAGACTGGAACTTAAAGGGATAGTGCCTTTTTCTGCTGACCACATAAGAAGATATTTTGAAGAATGTCAGAAGGCCCCAATGAAAGTCGATGGGCCCCAATGAAAGGATGACATCACCTTTAGTAAGCAGTTTTCTTTTTCTTTTTTGTTTAAAGACAATTATTTTTAATAAATCATATGATTTGGTTTACAAATCAGACTGATTTAGTTCTCAAGTCAATGACTGAACAGCTCAGAAGGGCAATATTATCACTGAAAAAACAACCTGAATTTCAATTTGTTAATTACAGAAAGTCATCATCGGTTTAAGACTTATAATTTTATAGATATAATGCATAAACTGTATGGATTATAATGATACTCTTCAGACGTTTTGACATTTTTAGAGCTTAAAAGATGTGGTCAATTATGATCTGTCAATTGTAAAAGGCTTGTGGAAAGATTCTTTTAAAAATGTATAGTGTAAACAGGTTTGGACATGGACATTTTGTCATGAGGGTGAGTAAATAATCACAGGATTTACATTTTTGATTAAACCATTACTTTAAAGATCAGTTGTTTTCACTCCACACAAGGCACTCAGAATGACAAAATGATTTAAGTCAAACACTATGGCTCTTCATGTGCCTGTTCAAGTGTGTACGGCACGTGTAAGCCTTTGGGCACAGAGGACATGGGAACGGCCTCTTTCCAATATGAGTGTACATGTGCTTGCTCAAGTCATAGCGCCGGATGAATCGTTTCCCACACTGTAAGCAGCAATGTGGACGCTCTCCGGTATGAAAGCACATGTGAGCCGTCAGGTGACTCGAAACCACAAATTTCTTGCCGCAGATTTTACACTGATACGGCTTCTCTCCCGTATGAGAACGCAGATGCACCTGCAGGCATCCGGCAGAGACAAAACCCTTTCCGCACTGATGACAAACGTATGGCTTCTCCCCAGTGTGAATTCTGATGTGGATTTTCAAATTCCCAGATAGTGAAAACTGCTTCTCGCAGTACGGACAAACATGTGGCCGCTCACCAGAATGACATCTCATGTGGGATTTTAATTGGATTTTGCTGTAAAACCGCTTTCCGCATTGCGAACAAAGGAGAGGTTTCTCGCCCGTGTGGTTTGACAGGTGGGCAAGCAGGCTGCTGTTTGCCGAAAAGCACTTCCCACACTGGTCGCATATATATGGCCTGAACTCAGCGTGCGTCTTCAGGTGGCTTCTTAATTCACTGTCGACGCTAAATGTCAAATCACAAAAACGACACTTTCCTGGCTGCCGTTCGGGTTTAGATTGGTGGACGTCTTTAACTTTATGAGTCTTCTGGTGGATTAAACTGGCTCGGTACGACCCGAAAGTCTCGTTGCATTGTTTACAGGTATAGTTCCTTTTAACACTGGGAGTTCGGTGAGATCGCCGGTGACTGACTAATCGTGACAGACTTGTGAACAGCCGTCCACATTCAGGGCATTTGTGTGTTGTTTTCTCTTTGTGCACCCTGTTATGTCTGTATAGGGTCCTGAGGGATCTAAAGTGGGCGGTGCATTTGATGCACTTAAAAACTCTGGTATTGCAGCTGGTGCTCTTGTGCGCCGCCAGCTGCGTCAAATCGTCAAAAACTTGGCCACACTGAAGACACTCATGTGTCCCCGCCTGGGTGTGCATTTCCTGGTGTTTGACAAGATCAGAGCGATAGATGAAGTATTTTGTGCACTGCTGACATTTGTGTACAGTCCTGCCTGCATAGTGGAAACCTTTAGAAGGTGTGTTTGGGAAGTTGTCGACAGCAGGCCGCTGTGGCGCAGCGGTCTGAAAGATTAAATCACCTAAAGGATCACATGGGACAAAAAGAGTGGTTCAGTCAAAAGATGATGAAAAGGTATAATGAGAATCTTGACAGATATTCGGAAGGGCTGTACCTCTATGACTATCATTGGTGGATGACGGCACGCTTGGCTCTTCTGAGTTAATGCTACAAAAAGAATAAACAGGATATTTTACAATGAAACATTTTGTCTTAATTCAGGAACACAACAGAGGAGAGCAAATTTCATAGCGATGTGCTCAGTCCTCAAAAATAGACACTCAAGAGATTTCCAGTCACAAATAGACTAAAATTGGGAATATTGCTCAAAAGCAAACATTTTGAAGTCTGACAGTAATCATCTTGAAATATAGAATTTGGGGAATTTGTTGCACAAGATGCACTGAGAAATTGCATATCAGAAAATGATCACCTTCACAATTAGCACCAACACTGTAAAATTACTTCATTTGAGTGTGACAACTTAAATTTCACTGTGTTCATCATACAAAATGGCCATATTGCTGATTTTGGAGAGCATTGTATGGACAAAAACAGCTGAAATACTGGTATTCTACAAATATCTCTCTTTGTGTTATACTTTTTTTTTTTTTTTTTACAAATCTAAAGACATGAGGGTGATAGAAATATTTTTTGCACTATTCCTTCAAGCTAAAATAAATAAATAAATAATCAATCTAGTTAACTTCAGTAATAGCTGGTTGTTATACAACAAGCTGACCATCCTGCCAACACGTAGTAATATGGTGACATACCATTGCAATTCATCAGCATTTGAGTTTGTTAACTTTTCTCCATCACTGTCTCTGGAGAACTCTGATGATTCACAGCTGGAGCTGGGTCCCACATTATGGACATTTGGATCACTTGTCACAGTCTCCTTGTTCACAACATGTGGTTGGTTTGGCAGATTTTTAGAATCAAGTGGCAGTAACTTTCCATCCTCATTGTGCTGGTTTAAAATGAGTGAGTCACCGACAGGCGGCAGTGACAATGATGAAACCATTCGATCCTCAACTATTGATGGAAGAACTTTCAAAAATAAAAATATGAAAACAAAATTAGCCATTGACAAATTGTGCTTAATTACTGTATTTTTCTAGTAATAGAATTGGGTTTTAATCTTTATCTGGGACTTCCTTGGTTAGCCAGAGCCAGATATATACCTATATATATATATATATATATATATATATATATATATATATATATATATATATATATATATATATATATATATATATATATTATATATATAAATATATAAAATGTTTTCCATTTTTATCTAGGAAGCTCATACAGCTATATTAGAGTAGTAGTAATTTCGAATTTTCAAACCTGGTTGCTGGGCGAAGTAGAGATCTCAGGATTGTGTCAAACAATTCGTAACATATCTGATTAACCAAGCATGCCAATTTCAACCTAAAACTAATATTCAAGCACTAGATTTTACCATTTTTTTCCAAAGTCCCACAAACATCTGTTTGTAGTAAGGATAGCAAATTGTGTGATTTACAAACAGAGTCCACACATGCATCTAGTTCCCCAGGGAGACAGCTGAGCAACAGTGAAAGCTGAAATGAAAGAAAATCAAGTTTCACACATTACAAACAAATTCTGTATAACTAAGTAGCTGGCCTGAATAATTTATATATGATAAGCGTGTATCATCAGACCTGTTTGAAGTTTGGTACAGGCAGAAGTTGCTCCAATCTGGAGAGGAAAAAGCCAACAAGGACTTGAAGCGCTTTATCAAAGTCAGGGCCATATTCGACTGGAAATACTTCCTGAAATACAAAAACAATTTCACCTGAAGTTTTCATGCAAATCTATCTGAAAAACAGCCATTCATTTTTTTTTGCAACATCCACTGCAGTTCATAGCACTTATGTTGCAGGCTGGACATCCATAACAATAAATGTCTTCAGCATATGTTTACAAGCCTTTGAAATTAAAGGGTTAGTTCACCCAAAAATAAAAATTCTGTCAGTATTTACTCAGCCTTATGTTGTTCCAAACCTCTATTTGTTTATTTGTTCTGCTGAACACAAAGGAAGATATTTGGAAGAATGTTTTGATTAACTAACTCTTTGTGCTAGAAAACTCAAATCATATGGAACTATTCATACCTGAAACGAACATTCACTCATTGAAAAAGTTACACTCTTGTAATGACAAGGTAATATTTTTTTTACTGTATGAATTAAATATACACAGATTTTTAAAGCTGCAAAATAGGACGATTACCAGTTTCATGATAAACCCCGATAAAATGTACTGACAGTTAGTATTATTGTTTAAAATTCAATTATCACTAAAACAGTGTTTGGATTATCGCAATTTTAATAACTCACTATAAATCATGTCCAGTCTGACAGACACAGGTACGCAAAGTTGTTGTTTTTTTATTTGAGAAGGAATAGCGGAAGGCAGTGACCGTGATCGGGAGATTTTTCAGCCTTTTAAGAGGTCCAAATCTGAGGTGTGGTCATATTTTATTTATTTTTTTACAAAAGTCCTGAGGGAAACTTGATCGAGGATGGTTACCCTGTCTGCCGAATATGCACAACAAACTCGCTGTAATAGAAACACTACAAATCTGCCGAGTTGTCTTGTGTGACCATCACCCAGTGTTGTAACTTATAGCGAACGCAAGGCAAGTTAACTTTGACCTCAATACCAAAACTTCGTCTGGGAATCAATTGGGCACAAAATATTATTTTGAGTTGAAATAATTTATGTCACTCACTTGAAATAAACGTGAACCTTCCGCGAAGAAAAGTTTTCAGAAAGTGGCTTTGAGCCAAAGACGAACAAACACGTTCAATGGGCTATATCCATGCATAAGCTCCGCGTTTGACGCAAGGATGTTCTTCAGTTTCTGGTTGGGGAGATTTAAAGCGGTGGAAAACCGAGGAAAATGGGATTTTGGCAGAGTCTTCCAAATTTACTGTCCTCTCGTCTTTGAAACGAAACTTTAATATGTTTAGATGTAATTTTATAAATAGTTATGTTTGTTTAATATAATTTTAAAAAGAAGCATAAACACAATGAGGGATGTCTGTTTTTGTGACTAACGTTTCTTTAGTATAACCATACAGAATAAAATCCAATATAAATTCTTGGTATAGCATTGGACTCTACGATCGGCAGAAGTAATCCAGCATCCTTAGACCTTCACCGGAAATACCGCCGTGAATAGAGCCCATTAAGAGTGACATTTAAGAGATAATAATGTATATATTTATTGTACACTGATTATATACAATTTTTTTTACCACATAATTACGGGGACATATTGAATTGAGATTAATGTTTTAAATTTTACCTGTTAAATCCATTTTGTACAGTGTACAAAACTCGTCCACACAAGGTGATCACAACAATATTATCAAACTCGGTAAATAATAAATCATCTGATTTCATTTTCAATACAATAAAAAAAAGGAGACGCAAGAGTCAAGACGGCAAGTTGTATTTGAATGAAATGAGAGCGCGTCAGCGCGTGATACATGGATGTGCTTTTGTTAAAATGCGTATTGACGACGGAAAGGAAATGCCACAGAATAGAATCTTGCTTTAAAAAGTGGATAGAGCTTGCTTGTTTTATTATTTGTATGTAGATTTATTAAATATAAAAGTTTTTAAAAAATGTTTTCAGAGTGAGCATAAGTTCTTTTTGAACACTTTCATCTTGTTTTAACAAAACCGTGATAATACTGATAATCACAATAATTTTGTTCACTATAATCATGATATGAAATTTTCATACCATCCCATCCCTACTGCAAAAGTTATTCCGTCAAGAGCTGTAAGTAGTTTTCTCTTTGTCTAATGTTGTTTGATTAACATTAAACACACAGACGGAAGCAGGTTTATAAGGCTGCTGTCACTTTAAGAGCTGCACGGATCCAATAAATTATCACAAGCAATTCTCAACTGTTTTACTCCACCCAAGACATATACTATTCCAAAACTTTGAAGCCATTTATATATATATATATACATATATATATATATATATTATATATATTTTTTCATTATGACTAATTAATTCTACATTTACAATAAAACCCCAGGTATTTCAGCTTTCAAATGAGATAATACTTGTGCTTTTAGTACAAAAGGTTTCATTAACTGTATCTGTTTCAGTGGGGTTTACAGGTTAAACAGGTAACACTTATTCA